TTGTTTACAAAAATAAATGTTTTATAAAATATATTTTTTAAATTATCAAAATTTTGAAAGTTAATTACAAATTATATATTTTATTAGTATATTCTTATTTTTTATATCTTTTCTTAGTGCTTGGTTTAATTAATTGTTTGTTAGATTTGTCGAAACAACTTCAAAATGTAAAGAACACACGTGAATCATTTAAGATATTATATAACTCGATTTGGCGCCATAGGGGTCCCTAAGTCCACCATCGTCGTGGCCCATGTAGCCACTGCTCTGATAGCTACAAAACAACATAAAGTTTTTTTCAATGTGAAGATTTTAGAAAATAAAATAAGTAACTATAGTTGGCTATTTTAGTAAAATTTAATAGTAAGATTTTTAAAGAGTTTCTAAAATGTTTCCTATGACGTCATGTACTAAAACTTCTATGAATTAAACGCACTTGAATAAATTATCAAGTCTGTATAATGAGCCTGGAAAATCACGTTTATTTTACAAACTCCGCGAACAAATACCGCAGAAAATGGAGAAGACAAGCAACAAGATTTTTTTAACGACTAAAACAACAAGATTTTTTTTTCTTGGTATACATTTATTAATTAGTTTTAATCAAAAAAAATTTGCTCAGACATTTATTTTTAACATTCTCTTTAATATGAACACAACATGTCTCGGGACTTGGTAGTCCCTTTAAGTGCTTAATACACAGCATTTGATGTTTAATAATTTTCAAAAAATTTTCTCACTAACGCTGAGCTTATTAAGATCACCTCCCTCTGTTTGTTAAATTTTACTTGTTATGAACAAAAAAACTGTATTCCAAATCCCAAATAATTTCAGTTATTATTTTCTAATGTTTGAGATCCATTTAGGTCTTAAAATAAAATAGAAAATAAAAACTTACTTTTAGGAAAAAAAATTCAGACTCACCTGTTTGTTAAGACTATTAAAAAAAAAAATTTAATGAAGGAAATATCCAGCGTTTGTAATTTAACTGGAAATGTTGTTAGTCGCGTTATAAAAAATAGTGATGATAATATACCCTTCACATCATCTACAATAAAAAGAAAAAAAACATAAAATTAAAAATTCTATAAATACAAACATCTAACAGATAATATTTAATACCGGCTGAAACAATCTCGTAATTAAAAATAAAATTTTAACGCAAATTTTAGAACAACACAATAAAAATGTTTTGATCTTGTTTGTTTCCCGAAAATTAAAGAAATTAAAATTGGCTACGAAAAAGATTAGCAATCATTCCTCAAGAAAGATTGAAACGTTATTGAATCCAGTTTCCTTTAGACGAAATTAGATTCAATAAAGTGCGCTCATAAGGCTATTCTCCAAAAGATAAATAAGCATACTTGACAATTTCTGCAAATAAAGGAGAGAATGTTAGCCTCATGTGCTTAATTTCCAATTTAGGAGTTGAATGTTTCCAATAGAAAAGCGGCACATACAATACACAATCATTTATTGATTTCATCAACAACAAACTAGTACTATTCTTTGAAGTAAATCCAAATAATATAATTGATAATGCAAAAGTTCATAAAGCAGCTGCAGTACTTTAATTGCTAAGACAAAAAAATATTATTCTATTAAAAATATTACAAGTTTTTAGTACCATACTCCCTTGAATTGAACCCAATCGAGGAGTTCTTTTCAATGTTAAAATCCAATTTTAAATCCAAAAGAAATGATAATCCCGATATGACATTGAAAAAACTCCAGAATATATTTTATAACCTGATAATAATTGATAACAGTGTAATGTCTTTTATATAAATATGAGAAGGTGGTTCGAAAAGAGAAGAATAATAAAACATTTGAGATGATTTGTTTATTTTTTTAAAATAATGTATGATTAAAAAGTTTTATGATTAAATAATGTATACTATTTTTTTAAACTTATAAAAAGTCTACAAAAGTTATTGATATATAACAATATGCTAAATTAAGTATAAATGAATTTTTACTAATTGCTTCTTTTTTTTTTTTTTTTTTAAACCACTTTTCAATTGCTATGATGTAATTTATTTTAATATTTTGCGCAATATTTTTCATTTTTGAAAACTAAAAAAAATAATTTCCTAAAATATATATTTGCACTTATAACTTTGCAAGCGTGCTCTTATAACTTTGCAAACGTGCACTTATAACTTTGCAAAACCCTGTATTTTATTTAACTTGGCATTTAATAGTTTATAAAATTGAGCCTAAAACCTAATTCATAGTCAGAATGTAATAAACATTATAATACCATAACAGATTTGAAAAATCTATCTTATAAGATAGATTGTTCAAATCTGTTATGTTATGTCAATTCAAATCTCAGCAATAGGCGCAAGGGACTTCTAGTTAGGCAATGTACTACAAGTGTTATTGGTAATTCAGGAGGTAATGTTTCTAATTTTACGCTATATTTTTTAATTGGATTTAGAGTTGTGGAGGAAGTTGTAAATAAAGGAAGAGGAATCAAACAAAATTTAGCCTAATAAACCTGTTAAACTATTTCAATCAATAGACAAATCAAGTTTTTATTCACATGTAATAAATGAGAGGAGATAGGAAAGGAAATGTGAAGGGGGCAGGAAGGGGGTGTTATTAAACAGGAGGGTAGGAATTTCTTTTTATTTCTATAAGTGAGTTTATATTTTCTTATTTTTATGACCTGATCGATCTCACAAATTAGAAAATAAGAAATATTTTTTTTGTTTGTTTTAAGTTTTGAGATACAGTTTCTTTATTCATAACAAGTAAAATCAAGAATGTGGATTCCCAAAAAGGCTTTGGCTTTATATCTCTATTTTTCCTGGTCTCTAGTGTCCAGAAGCTCTAAACATGTTGGTTAACTTATGATCTGCAAAAGGAAAAAAATTCATAAGGTTTAATAACTTGGAAGTTATTGGTTTTCAACCTGGAGTCTTTGCTGGCATTTTACCTAAACACTCCGAGTTCAAAAACTACAAGTTTTCTTCCCATTAGTAGCCCATAAGTTTTTTTATATTTTTAGAGTTCCTGGATGCTAAAAACAAAGAAGTGATCTTTTTGTATTTTTCCAACCATAAGTCTTTTTTGGGACTCTTTTTTGCATCCCTGAATAAAATTTAACAAACAGGGGTAGGAGGTTTTAATAAGCTCAGGGTAAGTGGGAAAATTTTTCGAAAATTATTAAACATCAAATGCTGTGTATTAAGCACTTGAGAGTACCACCTTTTTTTTTTCTTTTTTTTTTTCATAATTCCTGTTTTTTAAGTAACAAATTTAAGTAAATTTGACCATGCTTTTTTTTCTTTTTAAGAAAAGACCACTCTCCAATTATTTGTAATAACTAAACTATTCAGGATAACATCTTAATGCGGTAGTGGTGTAGTGGTAGAGCACTCGCTTCATAAGCGAGAGGTTCCAAGTTCAATCCCCACTTCGTCCCTGGTAGTACCGCACTCAACTTGTTTCTCTGCGCAGCGGCCTTGTTTGTCAATGTTCATGTTTCAAAGTTATAGAGTTAAGAGAGTGTTATAACCACAAATAAGTAGCCTCTTCGTCTGTAGTGGCCTTCTTAGCCTTGAGGAGGTGAATTAACAACAACAACATAAAATCTAACAAAAAAAAAGGTCAAGCTACATCGGTATATTTGTAACTAAACTTGCCCCGGTAAAATTGCAGTAAAGGTCAAAGTTACAGGTGCTATGTTTATTTTATATATTTTGTTCATTGGATTCCTTTCCTCAAAATATGCAAGTTTCCTCAAAATATGCAAGTGTAGACATTTTCAGCTTTCCATTGCATACAGAACAGTATCAATAAACAAAACCATTTTTCAAAATGGCAAAGTTTGAAGAGTCATCTTTGAAACTGTTTAAAATTAGATGATAAAATTTTGGAAATGTTCATAACTTATTAAAATCTTCGAGTGGTATAAAAATCATCAAAATCTGAGACTTAGGGTTGCATTTTATAATCAAATTAGATGCATTCCCATGGAATTTAATTTTAAGAACCAAAAGTAGAATTTTATTTTTATTAAAGTATAAAAAAAAATTGTATCAAAAATTACTTTTTATTTTATGTTATTGTTTTCTAGTTTATTTTTATATGGTACATTAACGTTAATTAAAAATAAAAATACGTTTTAAATGAAATAACATTTTTGTTGTTTTTAGTTAATTTTACAGTTAATTTTAGTTTATTTTTTAAAATGCAAAAAAAAATATTTTTTGATTATTTTATTAATAATTTTTATTTAATAAATTCTTTTTTTTTTTTTTTTAATATATTGTCAGCCCAGAATCCAAGTGTCATATTCGACATTTTTGAAAAAAATGCAATATATATGCAAATATATATAATAAAATATATAATATAAAATAAAAATTATATATGCAAATTTTTTAATTTTTGAGAACTTATTTCAAAAAAAAATTATCCAATAGCTCAATTAATTTTTTTTCCAATATAGTTCAGTAGATCATTTGTTGTAAATGAACTTTTTATATGAGTCTTTTTAATGTTCATAACTTATTAAAATCTTCGAGTGGTATAAAAATCATCAAAATCTGAGACTTAAGGTTGCATTTTATTGAAAAATGCATTCATATGGATTTGCCCTACTTGGAGTTATTATAAAATATTACATGATTGAATTTTCAGCTTGAAAATAGTTGACTCCAGTTCTCCTAAATATTTAGATTTTTTTCTATGAAGTTTATATGAAGTTTGATTTTTTTTTTTCATAAAGGTTCTATAAAGTTTATTATTTTGGAGCTCAATAACCATGAATTCCACACAAAAATAAAGCTCTGGATATTTTTTTGGAACTTTCACTAAAAGCTCTTAAGGGTATTTTTTTACCTCTAAGATTAGAAGATTATTTAATGTGATCCACTTCTTGGGATCCATTTCTATTTTCAAGGAATTATAACTATAACTTGTATTAAATTCAACCTATAACTTGTATTAAATATTAAAGTTAAAATAAAAAAGCATGTTTTATTTAGATTGATGCATGTGAATCTCAATGCGAAGCGCTATATGCAGGTTCAAAGAAGAAAAAACTAGACAAAGATGTATGTAATTTTTTAAAATTTTATCAGTTTTTCTTATTTTAACATAACACTTACATTTATAAGTATAAATGTGAGCATAATTTTTATAAGTTTGCTTATAAATATGCTTATAAATTTGCTTCTATGCTTATTAATATGCAATATAAATATGCTTATAAATGTTTATAATTTATAAATATGCTTGTAAATTTGCTAATAAATATGCTTATGAATATTTGTAAATTATAAATATTTATAAATTATAAATATGTATAATTATAAATATGTATTAAAAAATGTGATAAATTGGAATTGTTATTTGTGGAAAATCTTGAGGAAAAATTTAGTTAAAAAAAGTCTCCTAATAGAGTCACCAGCTTTAGTCTGGTAACTTTAAACAAGCTCAGAGTCTTTTCATAGATTTCAAATTTAGATGTTCTATAAACATTTAATTTTAGGACTTTACCTGGAAGATGTATCTAGCCTGAAAGACTATTTTTAGATTTTAATACAGTTTAATTTGGATTTTTTCTGATCTGCCCACTTAGGTTGCTCCTTTTTCCTAAACTGTAGATTTGACCTGAAACATAATTTAGCTATTTCTGTCAATCATGGATTTTTTAATGAAATAAAAAGTAGCCTAACAAGTTGAACATGCTATTGCTGGTCATGTATCGCTGGACATGTATTGCTGGTCATGTATATATTATTTTGTTTCGACAATTTGACCTCTACTTTTTAGATGTTTTTGAGAACATTTCAGAAATGCGCAAAAAAAGCCTTACTTAAGAAGCTTATTTGATCATTGACAATAGACTAATGGTGTCACAGTTTATAGTTACTAATGTAGTGACAGTTGACAGTTACTAATAGAGTGACAGCTGACAGTTGAAAATTAAATTTTTTGTTTGGAATTAATAGCTTTTTATTAAATTTGGAATTTACTTACTTCGAAAATGATTTTTTATGTTTTTATAAAATTAAGTGACACTCTTTTAAATAAACTTACAATTAATAATCGTTTATTAAAAAAAAAATCATATTCGGTTTATCAGAAAATATCATACAACTTTTTTATGTACATTTGTTTTTTTCCAACAAGTTTCTAATAAAACACTTGTTGAATTATTTAATAAATAAAAAAGTAAATTTTCTTTTTTTACCATTGTTAAGTTTTAATAAATATATTTTATACAATTCTTCAAACGTAAACGATTAAATCATTCATTTGCAATGGAAATATTTTAATGTTCTTTTCTTTTGCCGATGTCTTTAAAATTTAAAAACTAGTTCAGCGATGTTCTAGACTAGTGTCTGCTCTAGTTTTTTTTTTGTTACCCTAGATGGCTACCTTGCCAATTTGCCAACTTACCTGGCTAATTTGCTACCTTGTGAAACAAATTTTTAAATTATAACAAAATATTTACCTTAGCTAAAAACAGGCTCGGCCAGGAAGGCATGCGAAAACAAGCGATTTCATTACCACATAAATAATATTTTGTTTTGACAAATTGACCACGGATGTTAACATTTAAAATGCTTTGAAAAAATGTTTTTTAATTATGTTAAAAATAAATAACTTTGACACATTTGTTTTAAGGTTTTAATATTAGCAAAAGGCTTTTAAATTAAGTAACTAATGAGTTTCATTGAAGTATAAATGAAAGTTGGATAAATTATTTTATTTAACTATATATAATTTTTTTATAATAAATGTAATTAAAAAATAATAATTTAAATTTTATAAGCGGCAACTTTAAACAATTATTGTCTCTATAAACTTTATGTAAGAATCATTGAAGTTAATACACTCAAAAAGAAAAAAGATTTTGTTGAGAAGAAAAAAAAAAGACAAAAGCTGTATGAATTTGATAAATAACTTTGATCTTTGCTTATATTTTTATATTATTGAAACACATTTAAATAAAGTAACAATTCACTGCTAATGATTTTTAATAGTAAGTATTAATGAGTATCATATTTTTTTTATAGTTATTTAAGTATGTATTTTTTTATTATAAATTTCTTTAAATAAAAAAATTTCAACTCCATTTAGAAACAATTTATTTTTATTTATTTACATTACTGCAAGTAGTTTTTAAGAATCTGTTTTTAAACTTTTAAATGAGAGTATTAATTAAACAATCGTTAGATGTAAGTTGTTACTTTATTTAAAAGGTTTTTGTATAATATTATATTATAAAAACATCAGTTAAGATAAACTGTTTAAAGTTGTTTGTTTTAAACATATTTTAAATAATCTTATCGTTACAGTTAATTTTTTATTTTCGTTAAGTTTTAATTTTATTTTTTTGATTTTAGTTTTAGGTTAGTTTTGATTTATTTGCTTCTTTAAGAATAAGTTTTTTTTCTTTAAGTTTCTTTATAGTTAAGTTGAAATAATTTTTTCAGCGCATAAAATGTATACAAATTTACAAAACATCTTAACACCCGTGGTCATGTATTTAAAAGCAAATAGTGTTTGCGTGGTCATGTTATGTTGTGAAATCGCACACCTTCCTGGTCAAGCCTGTAGCTAAAAATAAACTTTTGTCAGTTTTTATCTTAATTATAAGCTGTAGCTAAATTTAATAATAAATTAAATAAAAATAGCTTTAACAGTCAAGTAACACAAAAGGTCTAGAACCTTGGTGTTCAGTTGCTTGTATATTTCTATGTTTATTTGAAATAAAATGTGAGTTTATTTGAAAATTTTATTAACATTAGTGATTATTAAAAAGATTACATTGTAAATGCAACAATTGTTTAAATTCTTGTTGTTCATAAAATATGTTTTAAAAGGTTTACATATATTATAAAAATACTAAGTTTTTAAATTAAAAAATGTTGATATGTATTTACAAATGAACTAATATTAATAATTTTTTACCATTTGTTTTTTATATAGTTTTAACTTTATATAATTTACTAATAAAATTTATTATATATAATAAACTTTACAAAACCTTGGTAACATTAACAAGTTTTTATTTTTGTAAACAATCAATAAAAGTGTTGCTTTGTTTAAAAGCTCTTCATAAAAATGTTTGGTTAGAAAAGTTTACAAAGTTAATTGTTTTAGTGTGTATTTGATTTTAATTGATATTAAGATATACATGGAACCATCTTAAATGTTTTCAAAATATCTTAAGAGATGTAGTCAAGTTGTTGTAACAAAATATTTTATGCCTGGTTTGGCATAGTGTGCGATTGTGTGCAATCATGCAGGACATATCTTTATGTCCTTCATGGTTGTGCACAACTGTCTGTTGTTTATATCCAGCATTTTAATAGATTGACACTATTAAGTGTTCATGTATTAAAATACTGGACTTAAATTTAACGTTGTAGCTAATTTGTTACTTATCTTTTATAAAAGTTGTCCCAAAATTAACTAAAGGTTTCAGTTTATCCCCATTAGTGCAGCAAGTTGTTGGCAACCCTGAAAAATAAGTAATTTGTTTGCTGAAAGGTTATTGTTAGTAAAAATAGAGTTTCATTATTGAACAATATCTGAAAAATAATGAAAGTTTGGCACTGATCAAAAATATCATACAAAATATATTCAAAATAATTTTTTACTTCATCAACAGTGAAAGATAAATTTTAAAATTCAGTGAGACTGGATCAGTTGGAGTTGCTAAGCAACTGATCATTCAAAAACAAGCTGTTTAAATGTCAATATAAAATATAAAAGTAACAGTTTACTTACATAGAATGCGACAACATAACACCTCTTAAAACTTCCTTTCACCTTCTAATATCTCCTAACAAGGCTAACATTTCCTAAAAATTGGTTCAATTCAACTCGACTAATCGGAAATCTAATTTTGAATATTACTATATATTTTATTAAAAACTTTTTAATAAAAATATATAGAAATATACAAAATTAAACTTAATTATAAATAAACTTAATTATAAATTTCTGATATGTAATTTCATATTTTCCATAATTTAATTTGATTTGGAAAAGTTTTTTTAAATAAGTTAAATAAAAAAGTATTAAAAATACTTTTTTATTTAACCAATTAATTTTTATTGTTTGTTGGGGAAAAACTTTTAGGACATCACACTACATTCCAGATATGATGTCTATTTGCTTTAATTAATCTGCTATCTTTGTTTTTTTATTTTTATGGTGTTTTTACTGAAGCTTTCTAAGCAATTATTTAGAGATTGCCAATCAACACTGATCAGCTGAAATGAATTGAAAAGTAGATGATCAAATAATTTTCCTGACAATCAAATTTTTTGTTAATTTTTTTATTTAGCAATTTTTGCATCAGACTTTTAATGTTTGTGCTTTATAGCACTGCTTATACCACAGATTTCCCATTAAGTTTAAAATTCTGAAACAATAAAAAGTTCCAAATAAAAACTTATACTGGGACTTGTTTTAAAGTGTCCAGTTATAAATACAAACAAGTCTTTTTAAATGTTTTGTTATAAAGGCACTTTAGCTAGCCTAAAAAAAGAGATTATTTTTTTTATACTTAAGCCGGGCAATTGTCTGGCTTAAGTATTAAAAAAAATGACGATAATTTGTCCAGCTTTTCCTAACTTATCATAAAATTTAACAAATAAGAAATTTATTAAGTTGATCAAGTCAACTTTTGATTCGTCATTCGATTATGCAAAGTCATTCATTCAAAACGATAAAAAAATTTCAATTTTCTAATTTCAATTTTCATTTAAAGAAAAATAATGATAGTTTTTTTTACAAAAATAATACAAGAAATATTAGGAACCTTTAAAAAAGCATTTGTTGATTGAAACATGCAAAGTATTTAAAAATGCAACATGCAAGAGTATTTAAAAAACAAACAAAATACTGAAAAAGGTTTTGAACTATTTGTTATTTAATTCATCAGATGACAAATCCAAATCAATTAATGTTTTTCAACCAGTTTTTTTTTTTTGCTCTTTTTGAGTAATTTTTTTCTGATTGTAATGGCCTTCGCACTACATCATTTGCCCATAACTATAGCAGGACTTAAATCAAGTACATTAGAATCTGTTCCTTGCAAACTTACTCAAATTAAATTGTAAGCATTTCTCTTTCAAAGAGTTGTGTGTGTCCATTTTCACTATATTCATTATTGAAAAAGGCATTCAACTTTTGCATTAAATACAGGCAAAGTAAATAATTGTTCGACAAGAAGCAGAATCGGAACCCATTCATTTTTCATTGAGATAATATCAGAAGCTTTCTTAGGTTGGTAACCATCATTGTTATATTCATCATCTTGTAAAATAGATGCAAGTTCTCCGCACTGCCTTGTGTGATTTTTTGTAAATGTAATGCATTCTTAAAATAATACAATCAACGTCATAAAATGATTCAGTCCTGAATCATTTAATAAAAGTTTTTTTTCTTCATCACTTAGCATATTTTTAGTAACATATAACAACGATATAACTTCCCTAATTTATCTTTTCATGATAACTCCAGATGATGTACTACATACCAACCAAATGTGATCCATGGAATTTCAGCCATGAGCAACATTTTAACACCTGATTTGCCTCCTCTATTTACAGATGCGCCATCTGCACCAAAAGCGACTAATTTTTTATTGCAATTTTCAATTTCTATATTCTCACACAGTTTTTTTATCGTGTTATCGTAAAAATCTGTGTGATGTTCTATATTCAATATCTGAAAGTGAAAGAAAGTTACATTCAACACTTACTTTTGATTTTCCAGTTGGAATTGGATTAAAGGTGACAATAAATATGGGCTCTTTTTTCGTAATTGAAACATCATTGAAGTCGTCAAATAGAATTGAAAGTAGAAGTGAAAAAGTTTCAGTTGTTCAGTTGTTGTTTTTTAAGGTCTTTCGGCAAACTCCGAGCAATGTAGTCAATGAAGTATTTGCGTTCTTGTAAGCTTGACCAAAGACTACACCATGTTTCTCTTATAATTGAATTATTTTTGGATATAGACTAAGCGAAAGTTCTTTCCAATAAATAAGCAACCTCAAATTTTTGGTCAAATCAAGATCCTTACTATGCATGATTTGAATACCGGATAAAATGTCTGTTTGCCACATTTCCTGCTGCAACTCATTTTGTTTTTCAATTTTATCACATATCTCTTGTTTTCATAAATATTTCAAAAGCTTTCTGGTTTGACATTCCATCTGCTTGTATAATCGAGGAACTGTGTTGCAATTTACTGTATTCTTATCCACCACTCAAATTTGGCATGTACCATCTGAATTTGAGAAGCATATTCTTGACATACCCTACATTTTAGCGAACCTTTCCACCTATTAGCTGTTTATAATTGTAACTTTCTTTCGTAAACTTTTACTTTATTTTTAGCGGGTGTTTCATATTCCTTTTAAAAGAATTAATTTTCAGTCGCTTTTTTCCCCCATCCATTTTATAATTATTTTTATACTGTTTGTATAATTTTACTTCTAAAACTTATTTTCTAAAAATTTTAAACAGAAACATTTTTTTTTTTGCTTAAAGCATTGTGATGTTTTCAAGGTAACATTCTTTCTTTCCTTTCCATTTCCTTACTTCTGATTCCATTCTCTACCTCTACAAATCTCTTATTCGTCCCTGTATGGAATACTGTTGTCGTATTGCTGGTTCTTCTAACGATTCCCTTTCTCTTCTTGACAAGGTCCAAAAACGCATTGTAAATGTTGTTGGACCTGGACTATCTGTTAAGCTTGAACCTCTTTCCCATCGTTGTAAAGTTGCATCTCTTTCTCTTTTCTACAAATACTATCATGGTCACTGCTCAAAGGAGTTATCATCTCTAGTTCTATCAAATAAAATTCATTCTTGTTTTACTCGTCATTCAGCTAAGTCTCATTCGTTAACTGTATCTGTCCCTGCATGCTCTAAAAACTTTTATTCATCTAGTTTTTTTCCCCGCACTTCAATCCTTTGGAACTCTCTCCCATCTTCATGTTTTCCTGACTCATACAACCTTCAACTTTTCAAGTCCTCTGTCAACCGTTTCCTTGCTCTATAATTTTTCCTAGTAACTCCCAACTTAATAGTGTTTCCTTACAGCCTTGTTGGGAGTGAATGCAAATAAAAAAAAAAAAAAAAACATTCTTTCTACCAATCATAAACTTGCATTATTATTTTTCAAAATTTTTCACAGAAATGTTATTGTTTCTAAATGGTAATGCAAATTTGATTCATTTAAAAAAGTTCAATTCAATCAAAATAATTCATTAATGGGTAATAAACTTTTTGTTTATATAAATTTTTTTACCTTTGTTTCTCTTTTTTATGCAACGTTTTTGTGTTGATGTTTTACTTTTGTTTTTTTATTGTTTTTGTGACTTGTTTTGTGATGTTTTTAAATTAAATTTTTTTTTGAGAATAAAGTTTGACTTTCAATTCTTGACAATCAAATTTGATCGTCCAGAATTAATTTTGGGAGATCAAAATATCATCTATTCCAAAAGTAAATGATTATTGATCGTTGATCGGCTGCTATTTCGAGCAATAACATCCGAAAAAAGATTTATTAATAATAATTAATATATCTTTTTTTGTTGTTATTGCCTAATGTCAGTTACATTTTTATTTTGCTCATTGCTACTTGATGTATTGTTGGGCTTAGACGAAGTTTCAATTTTGATAACTGTTCAATTAGTTTATTTATAACAATTTGTTTTAAATATAGAATTTTTATACTAAATAATGTTTGCCTTGATTTTTTTTTAAATTAATTTGAAAAAAAAATTGAAAAATTAAAAAAAATATATAGGTAAATTAATTTTATTAAAAAATAATTTTTTTTCCTTTTTGTTTTTTCAATTTGATTTTTGATAGGAGTATAATAAACAATTATTCTTAATTTTTGTTATAATTGATCTGTAAGATTTTTTTCTCAAGTATATATTTTAATTTATATTTTTGTAGAAGCAAGATAGAGTAGATGAGCTTGCTATACGAAGAGATAAACATAGATATCATATATCACAATTAGAGGTAATTTAAACATAGATATCATATGTCACAATAGAGGTAATTTTACTGGCCCAGTTTTAGTTAACTATTTTATTATATATGGTAACAATAAAATTTGACTTTAAAACTCAAGATATTGACAAGTCAAGATTTTATTAGATGTTGACAAGTAAGGATTTGACAAAGTGTTGGTTTTTATAAAATTTTTGTTAGATATGTTAATATGGTAGATTCAACTTGCAAGATTTTAAAAATACTTATGGAGTAGATCTAAGTATAACCAACCCCTTACAGATAGAGAAAATTTGATCAATAGTTAGAGAGGTAAGGCTGGACCACAAACTGCAGAAGAGTTAAAGTGGGAAATAACATTACCATCAAAAGAAAGAGTGATTAGGATGTCTAACAATTAACTTGTTTCTTTTGGGATGACAGAAAAAATCTGGTTATATAACATGATACGAGAAGGAATAAAAACTTCTATAAATTTTCAGCAAAAAGACAAAAGACAGCTTGAGGGCCATTACGAAGAAAATATCAAAAAAAATCTCAGTCAACTTTATTAGTAAGAATTGATGATTATGATCTAAAACAAAATAAAAAAAAGATTTTGATTGAAACTTAAAGAAGAAGTAAAAAAAGCAACAACCTACCAAATAGCAACAACCAACCTAAACCAAAGAAGATCATTAAAAATGTTTATTTGATTTCATATAAAATATTTTTTTAAAAATTTTTGTTAAAAAAAAACAACTTTAAAACTAGGTTTTAAGCTAATTTAATTCATTACTGCTAATTTAGTTTCACAAAATTATTAAGGGCATATTTACTATTTTTGCAGTTCAAAAGCTGAAAAAAAGTATTTTGAAAATTAAAAGAAGAAAAATCAAAATTTTTTAAAATATCAATTTATTAAAAATAACAAGTTATTTTGTAATTTTTTTTTTTTTAAGTTTATTTGTTTATAATATAGAACACATCGGTTGTATTTAAATCATTCATAATTTTTCAAATTTGTTGTATATATAGAGGTCGCTTTAGTTTGACTAAATTAAAAAAAAAATTATAGTAATTATATTTAAATTTATTAATTAGTTTTTAAAGTTCTATCAACTAATTAACAATTAAAAAATGCGCAATGGAAAAAAGACTAGTGTGATTGCCACCACAGTTATCACCAGACTAAAAATTGTTTATGAAGACATATAATTAGAAGGCATAATTTTACTTGTTGATAATGTATTTTGATTTTACAAGTGCAAAAAAAATGTTTGGCTATAAGAGTTTCTTTTCCGTAAATCCTCTGTGTTTGTATATATTTATGTATACATTTAAACCCCAGTAACATATTCCCATTAATGTAATTATTTAAGATAGATAAAGAAGGTAAGCATTATTAAATCCAGTTAAGGTAATTGTTCTTTAATCAATTCTGAAATATAAACATTCAATATACATCATATATATATATATATATATATATATATATATATATATATATATATATATATATATATATATATATATATATATTATAAATAGTGTGAAAAATAGTTTAATGAAAGAATGTATATCAGCTTATTTTAGCTTTTCTGATAATTCTTTTAATTTTTTATTCTAACGTGTCAGATCATTATTGGCTCTATAGTGTTGACAAAATCGTTTATTGATCTTTTGCCGCTGTTCTTTCATGAACTGTATGAATTGCAAGCTTTTCTTACTGACCCTTAAGATTCTTTTATCATTACCTCATACCAAGGCGTCAGAACACATTTTTTAATATTATGTTATTTATATATATATATATATATATATATATATATATATATATATATATATATATATATATATATATATATATATATATATATATATATATATATATATATATATATATGTATGAATATATGAGCAATTCCACGGCAGAAGATGAAAGAGTAGTCTAATTTTATTCTCTTTTTCGTCAACTTTTAGCAAATGAACATTGATGTAGACACATAAAAGTTTATTTAAAATATATCTTTAGTACTAAAATTAATTTATATAAGTCTTATGTATTATGCTTCCGAAAGTTACGGTTTTTCTCATTGTTGCATGATAAAAAAAGTATCATTGTAAAATGTTATTTTAACCTTGAATTTATTTGCATAGTCAAAATTAATTTAGCATGAAAATAAAATTAGCATGATAAAGTTTTTGTTGGTCAGATTTTATACTTCTTAAAATATATATATATATATATATATATATATATATATATATATAT